TATGCACGTAGTTTTTAATGATTTTTTTTACCAATTTTACCAATTACCCCCCCCCCCTCAACATTTTTTTTTTAATCGTATAAGGCATAAGCTATAATCAATAATCACCCCTCAATACAAGAATACAACCATTATGATCTGTATGTAATAACTAGTAGCCGGAATTATATTCTTTTGCATATTTTTTTTTAAGTCTATGCAGTCAGACGGGAAATCGAAATCTTTACAAATCATGAAACAGGTGAGTTAATGGCAAAAGTTTATTTTGCATATTTGGGAATATTTCAAGATAAAAGAATATTTCGTATAATAAAAAATATTAGAGAATATATCGATTAATTTTTGTAGATGTTCGATATTTTTTGTTGCAGTGGCCTAAATAATATAAATAGCACATATAAAAACATTTTAACCGACTGTTGTACAAATATGACATCAGGGAACATGGAACAAAAATCAAAATATAGTTGACAACTGTTTTCAAAAATTTTCTTAGTTAAAAATTTAAAATAATTAAATATTAAATCAAACTTTTCTTAACAAGTAGTATTTTTTATTATGTAAGTATCTATTTATATCAGGTTTTTATATTATTTTGCATATTATGTACCTATTTATTTATATGAGTTCGTATTATTTGCTTAATTATTTTGCATATAAATGCATATTTTTAGTTCAAGAGAATATTTTAATAAAAAAGCATTTTTTTTTGCATATTTTATTATTATTTTTAAAGAATATTGGAAGAATATTTTCGACTTTTTAAGAGAATATTAGCATCTTATTTTAGTTATTTTAAAAGAATATAATTCCGGCCCCAAGTAATAACTAATATTGTATATACAGTGTGATCACGATTTTAGTTACCACTGAATATCTCAGTTGGCTGACTTTGTATTGAAATGGGGTTTTCGGGAGGTGATAGCCGATAGGATGCACTTAAATACATATTTTCAGACCAGTTTAAAATTTTTAGCTCACTCGGTATGCGCATGCGCAATTTGACTTACTTTTTGTTAAATGGCAACCCCACTTTTTTTTTACAGATTCGGGTAGAGTATTTTTTTTTAAACATTTTTTGTATTGAAAGTTTTTCTATTTATAAAACTGACCAAGTTAGAGAAAGTCAAATTTTGGATTTATTCATTAAACGTGTTTAATGCAATTTGCATTTATAACCAGTTGAAATAATAAAATAAGTGCCAAATAAATGTTTGATTAGGGGGGGGGTGGCTGAGTGGACTAAGGCGTCGGTTGTGGCCGATTTCCGTCCACCATTAAACATTTATTTGGCTCTTATTTTATTATTTCAACTGGTTATAAATGAAAATATCATTAAACACGAATTATGCATAAATGTTCAATAAATGTTCAAAAATAAATACTCTACCTGAATCTGCAGAAAAAACTGGGGTTGCCATTTAAAAAAAAGTAATATTGCGCATGCGGCATGCGCGTACCGAGTGAGCTAAAAAATTGAAACTGGTCTGAAAATATGTATTTAAGTGCTCCCTATCACCTCCCAAAAACCCCATTTCAATACAAAATCATCCATCTGTGATGTTCAGTGGTACCTAAAATCGTGTTCACACTGTATATGATAATATTGATGGATGATTATATATTTGTATAATATTATGGAGATTCGGGTGATTTTTGTATGAAATATACATTAATACAATTAGTACATAAATGTGTTTGAAGATTAAAAAAAAAATGGTCAAGGGGGGGGGGGATACGACACCCAAATCCCCCCCCCGTAATTACGCCACTGATCAGTATTACGATATATTAATATCTATTGGTAATACGAATATTGTTCTATTTATATTTTATGTTATTACTATACTTATTGTATTGGCTCTAAATTAAAATATAACTATTATTATTTTGTCCGCCCCTATGCGGTTATACATGTCCATAATCACTAATCTGTATTGTTGTTATTTGAAGAATTTGTGTAAATTATGATATATTAATGTTATTAGTTATTTTATATTTATAGTACTTATTAGTTGTTACAATAATTATTGTTTCGTATTTCGCCGATCCGCGTCCGTCCTGCAGTCGTCCTGAAGTTCAACTTCTAAATTCATACATTGCAAGAGACCATTATAAGCAAGCTATACCAAGTTAACATTTGATTATTTTAAGTTTCAATTTTGCATTATTTAGTTGCACATTTTTTTATGAAAATTAGACAAAAGAAATAATGTCGCAAATAAAGAAGATACTTCAGAATATAATGGTACCTATATTATGTTTATGTAAATGTATTCACATTTCCTACTGTGTTCTAACTATTACAACACAGCCACACAGGTACTTAAATAATGATATATTATATTAATTGTAATGTTATTATTTATTAATTATTATTTATTACCTATTGAGTATTGGTAATGAAAACGACAAATTTTATTAAAAAATAGAAATATGTAAATTTCTAACAATCTCTTGGCCTGAAATAGTGTGTCTCTTGAATTAAAAATGTATGTTTAATTATACCTTTTTAAATAACAGAATTGTCCATACTCCAAAAACCTTTTTTAGTAACTACATCCATTTAAATTTAAATTTATTATTTTGTTCAAATATAATAAGTATAACATGAGATGAGATTTAACATGGCATATCATGAGATTTATTATACTGTAGTCTTTAATATAATGCAATATTATTGTAAATTACAATTAAATATTAATGTAATGTAATCGAATAATGATCTCTATAATATGTTGTATGCAAAAGCAGGTAAGTACCTACTACCTACATTGTTGAGAACACGAAATTAGTTCTGCTGAACATAACTTGGCATATTGTATGCACATTCTACATAAAGTGTACAAATCGGATATATTTTAATTTTCAGGGCTTTAGGCTCAGTCCTTAATATATTTAATAGATAATAAAAATTAGGTCAACGGTTTTTAGATGTAGGAAAATATAAAAAAAATTTAAAACCGTTCCAAAAACCAAAACCAAACATTTTCAAAAACCGTTCTTGAAACCGATAAATTTTTTTAAAAACCTTTTTTGAAACCGAAACCAAAACCAAAAAATTTGAAAAACCGATCTTAAAACCTAAATCAAAACAAGAAAATGTAGAAAACCGTTCTCAAAAACCGAAACCGAAACCGTTAAAATATGAAACGGTTTCGATCCCTGATTTTTACCTTATTTTTTTTTTTAGATTGTCAACAATTAGTAATAATATGGGAATTTGGGTGTCTCTATGGCTGTTTATAATAAACCAAAGATAATCCACAGTTTTTCCAAACTTAGCCTAGACCATTGACTATGTTGACTATGAATAATACATTATTAAACCCGAGTTTAACCAAGGTCTAAGAATTAAACCAAGTTTATTTAAACTTAGGTTAAACCTTAGTTTTTTACGATGACTATGAATAACACTGTCTAATAGAGATGTGTCGTTCGCGAACGAACGGATCGTTTTGAACGGGTCACTCTATTGAACGAGTCGACCCGGGTATGGAAAAAAAAAAAGGTCGTTCACTCGTTCATCGTTCATTTTTTTTCGTTGTTATTGTGGTTTCACTGTGGCGAGTCGGTCACCCGGACTCGGGTGACAAAACGGTTCATTTGAACGATTCGGGTTGAGAATTGAATAGAATAATTACTTAAAAATAATTATTATTTGGTAAATATTTTTAATTTTGAAGTAATAGTATCAAAAACGACAAAAATGTACATAATTTTTCATATTTTACATTTAAAACAATGTATTTACAATATAATTTTCGTAATTCAAATTTTGGTGGGATTTTGGCATGTATTTTACATTTTGATGTATTCAAAATGACGGATAATCATAATAGATGATGTATGCAGTAATACTATCGGATCGTTCAAATGACCCGTTTTGCGAATCATGTGTACTGTGTAGTAGGAAGGCAGGTAGTCGTTCGTTAATTCGTTCGCGGGACGCGTGAACGATATGAACGATATGAACGAATCACATGAACGGGTCTTTTGAATGACCCGATCCGAACGACCCGAATCGTTCAAATGACCCGTTTTGCCCATCACTACTGTCTAAGTCTATCTTAAACCGTGGTGTGTAACCAGCTTATAGCTAGCTGTTGACTGTTGTTGTGGGTGAGGTTCGCGGTACGGTAGTGGCCGGCGCGTGGCGGTTGCTACGGCGCGGCGCTGGAAGGGGAAGTTTGGGCGGCCGCATCTCGCTGTATGACGGACGAAAGAAAAAGACTCCCAAAACTGCAGTTTTTAGCTCTGTCTCTCTCGCACTCTGCATTCAACCAACGCGTGCGAGTGAGAGGTCCGAGCGCCGAAACGAAACTTAATGTATAATAGTCTCGCTATCGGTTGTCGGTGTGCTGTTTCTTATCGGTGTTACTTATGCACAGATTAGTATCTGAATTGTGAATTGTGCTTTCCTATAAATTCGGTGCGTTGAATGTTGATACTTGATCGTTAGCGCCTAGCGGTCAACAAACAAACACGTCTGTACTCTGGAGTGTCAACACCGATTCATTAATATCGATTTTTTAAAATATATATTATATTTATATATTTTACAGGTAATTACCACGGGGATTGGTGATACACTACAGGTAATTATTTAACATAATATAATATACAAATTAATTATTTGTACTTTCAAATGTAATTCATTCTCTTAATTATACATTTATACTTATTTGTTTTATGTAAACACTTTTTTCCAGCAATACTGCAATAGGTCCTAATATTAATTAACTTTCACACATTTCAATTTTATATATTTTTACCGCCAAGCCAATACATTTTTGCGTATAATATTTTTTTATAATATCCTTATTTTTTTGTACTCTTGTGTTTAAGCATCAAAATGACAAAAATAAATTTGCATAAGCTGATTGCCGTTTTGAAAGAAAACGGATGTACTCTCTGTCAGTGGAATTATGTAAAATGTGGTGAAGATATCGTCATTGAGTCTTGCAAAGCATGTGTTGATCAGAATACAAAATAGAAAAATGATTAGACGAGTAAGTCGACAACATTTAATGAGTGACTTAGTATTATACTGTATTCAAATTTTAAATGTAAAAAAACATAATTGCAATATTGCATATCAAATTTGCATGCTTCACTGTTGAGTTTCAACTTTCTTAGCAAGGAGGGGCAGCTGGGTTTAGCAGGGACAAATTACAATATTATTTGTTTATATTATTATAGTATATAAGTCATGTCGTAAGTTTTTACGTTCATTATTATATTGTACTAAATGGTATTTCGCAATATACGACGGTCGCGTGGACTTTATTATAATATCATATAGTGTTACGCATAATATCAAGTATACACTATGTATTGCCGGGAGCCCAGGAAAGTCCTCGCGGTACCTTGTCTAATTTTATATTTTTTAATTTTTATAATATTATGTCTATGGCAAGAACTCACTGGTTTACAACTGTCGAGTAATGACATTCGACAGAATACCCCCATATCAGATTAGGTTATAATTTATAAATTTATAATATTATGTACTTATTTAGTATTAAGTAGGTATTAGATTTGCATCGATTATAATTTATAAATACTATAATAGTATAATGCTAATTGCTACAAGGAAACATACGTATGTTTGACATAATTATTGAAAAATATAATAGTCGTCACTATTGATGCGAGTAGGACATTTTACTGTTTGTTTTTATTTACATTAATTTTGTTGTGATAAAATAGCATTACTGCCGCACAAATATTAAATAATATTATTATCATTAACTATGCACTTATTAATTCTATTTAAGCTTTTACAATTTGTGCAGTGTATTTTTAATAATGCTATAAAATATACTTCAAAATTCAATGAATATTTCTAATTTTTACTCGTCTTAAGTAAAAAAATGAATCCTATTAAAAAAATACAATTTTATTTTTAAATTATAGAAATTTCCAGAGATTCTCTCTTAGAAATTCTTGAATATTAAATTTCTGAAATTTTACATCACTAGCCGTGATTCATAATAACTAAATAATCTAAGGTTAGGTTATTACCAGCTCCTATCGCCGTAAAAAAGTCAGACCACAAAATTACTAAACGAAAACAAAGTCTGGTTTTTTATGAAAAAAAAATGACGACTTATCAATAATTTTAAATATAATTTAAAATGAATAATGCTGAAAAATAATTAGTTATCGGAATAATTTACCGGAAAAAATTAAATAAGACTTTTTTCCGGCATTCAGTTGTAACAATACCTAAGGACTTCTTAAACTATTAAGGAGATTCGATACCGTGATTTTCTGTTTTTCTCTAACACACGCGGGTGACATAGTATTTTAGACGTGTTTTTTGCCAAACATTCCAATTGATCTATTGAAGTGATACGATTTCTGAAAACAGATTTGAATTTGTCGTCAAGTCTACTTGAATTCGACTTTCGCACATTTTTGATTTTTTGATTTTAACTTCTCCAAAAATTGAAATAACAGAATTTTTAAATACCCTTTTTGAATATGACATTTTAAAGAAATGTGGGAAAGCCGATTTCAAGTAGACTTGACGACAAATTCAAATCTGTTTTCAGAATTCTTATCGCTTCATTAGATCAATTGGTATGTTTGGCAAAAAACACATCTAAAATACTATGTTGCGCGTGTGTTGGACAAAAACAGAAAATCACGGTATCCCCTTAAGTAAATATCAAACAATTAATGATTTACAAAAAAAAAATTCTTTGTAAAATGTTCAACAACTTTAGCGTGAAACCACGATGCAACATTTAATAATTGTGCGAAAAGAGAACACTTGTTATATTCTGTGATTCCACCCGGTGTTCTGTCTTTGTCTAACACACGCTCGACATAGAATTTTGATGTGTTCTTTGCAAAAATGTACTGCTGTGTCTAAACATTTTAAGGTTTACCTAGGTATGCAGTAATAAGTAAATTTGTTTTATTAACTGCTAGAATTTGGAAGTATTATCACGACAACGGAATCGCATTCCACAATTCGGTATACCTATGTATTATTTAATATTTTATATATTAAATCTTCTGTTTGAGTATGTGTGTTATTAGTTATTAATTAATTGTGAATATTTCAGTACCCATGTGACTATGTAGGTACACTTATTTTTGGACAGTTTAAAGGGAAGATGGTTAACAAATCGTAACCACACATAAGTCTGTACTTATTTTAAACTGAGTAAAATATTATGCAGGTACCTACCATAAAATTTAACTTTCAACTTTGCAACTTGCAAATTAATGTGCACCTCGTTTAGTCATAATTCCATAAATAATAAAATGCTCAAATCTTAAATAGCATAACTAATTGGTAGTACTGTGGTGCTGGCACCATGTCCACCATATTTTATTCATTAATAAGAGTTTATATTTGATTTCAGATACTAGTCGACAGGAGGAATAATATATTGGAGTTATACAATCGGTTTGAACCAGAAAAAAAGAATTTCACTAACAAAGTGAGGGCAATACTGAATGAGCTACCATTTGAAGTGAAGTGCGTAGACTCTGAAATTGTAATTGAAATTTGCAAGAGGTTGGGAATAAAATGGAATGCTACTAAATGGAAAATAGAGGCATTGAAAAATCATAATAAAGTAACTTTAACATTGCATAATATTTTTAAACTGGACAGTAAAAAGGTAAAAACACCAAATGACAAAGTAATGTTATATGAAAATATTGGGCAGGTGTCTGTTGGTGATGATTTTTTTGTCAAGTTCTAGGTTAATGGAGACAAGTATAACAATAAATGATATGCCTGAACATGGATCTTTATTGTTGAAACCAAATCTCGAGGAGTCGATTGTTGATGAATTTATCACTCCTACAAAACAAAATGAAGCTATTGGCATTGTGGAATGTGTTAATGATCAACTATTAACACACAATTGCAACAACGATATTAAGGGAAAAATATCACAGGTGGAAAATTTAATTACAGATGAAAATACTCCTAAGAAAAAGGTAATGTGTGGTTCCAATGTAGAACAGTTATCTGTTGTTGATGAAACTTTATACAATTTTAGGTTGATACAGAGAAATGAGGACATTATGGAAGTTGCACCTATCTATTTGTCTAGTGTGGAGAATATGTTTGACACTTCTAATGATACTGTATTGTTGGAACAAAGTCCTAAACTCTAAAGAGTCAAATTTTGTATTTGTGACACCTACTCAAAGAAATTTTACCACAGGAACTCCTAGAAGAAAATTATTTCATGACAATATAACAGGAAGTTCATTGTTTGAATGTAATAGTTCAATTGATTTACTAAGAAACACTGGTAAAACAAGAGACAAATTTATTAGTCCAATAAAGAGTCCATTAAAACGTTTGAATGAAAAACATTTTAATAAAAGCCCTGGGGAGCTTTTACCACAAGGTTCTAAGAATGTGTCTCCTCTAAACATTGAAGGAAAATATTATGAATGTAACTTCGAAGAAGGGGAGTTTATAATTCCAAAAGATGAATGGAATCATGTATTTGAAGACGGAAAACTAAACCCAAAAAGGTATACATTAAACATAAACTTATTTTAATTTGCTTAATACATTTATATCTATATAACTACTTACATTATATTTAATTTGTTTGATTTATTTTTCTATTAATTTGTCTTAAAAATAAATATATAAGTTTAATATTAGATTTTAATCGATGATGCATTTTAAATAGTTAATAATTAAAAATAATCTAAATATGATACGGTACACAATTAAATTCCTGACAAAATAGTATTCTTAAATACCTACAAAAGAACAAAAATAATAATAAAAAAGGTGCTCTGCTGTACAGTAGGTTACAAGTGGGTCACTGTATAATGGATGATATTAAATTTGAATTCAACGATATAATATCATTGTATAAGAAAAACGATTCTGAGCGGAGACGGTATGTCAGTCTAGGTATAAGACATATTATAATATACATATCTGATATCTATGATATTAAACAAAAAATTGACCTATAATAAGTACCTATAATAAATTAAAAATTAATCATATCACAATATCCATTAGGTAGGTACTCATAACGCGTTATACATCAACAAAAACCGTGATTCTATCATAGATATATAATAATACACTTTAGAAGTATCAAGTACCCACGAATAATATTATTCAATCACAACAAAAAAACTAAAATAGTTATTCTAGGTTTTTTAATATGTAATTTCGTCCAAATTTTAATTTAAAATGTCTGTAAAAAATAACTGTGTTAATATATTTTTTGGAATTTTTGGTTACAACATGAACTATTTATGAGAACCATTGTTTTCAATTTGCAATCCTTAGCTATGAAAACTGAACATTTTATAATTTATTGATTACAATATGATTGATAATTTTCGAGATTTTGATAAATGTTGTCAAAATTCGATCTTTAAATGCTTATAAAAAAAAATTGTGCCTATGTATTTTTAAAATTTTTTAATTGCTATTGTAACAATGTATCAGAAGCCTTGTATTAAATTTTTACACTTTTTGGCCCAACAGCTAAAACTTTATTGATATTTATAGAAAAAAAAACTAAAAAAATTGAAAACTGAAAATGTCAATTAACAGCTCAAAAAAAGTCAAATTATTTTCAAAATTTTACAGTGTATAGAAAATGCTAATATGAATATTCAATGAAATGTTCATGTATCTACAGTTATTCGTTTTTGAATTACAACAAAATAAGGAAATCGCTACATGAGAAATCGAGTGAATATCCAATGTTGTAAAAATTTGAATTTCAAACGCTCATAAAAATTTAATTTGACTTTCCGGTAGAGATTTTTTTATTGATAAAGGTAGACAAACTTATGAGTAATCTTGTATTAAATTTTCAAATTTTAGATTTAAAAAGAAAAGTTTTACGAATTCTTAACTCAAAATAATTTGCTAATTTTCGTGATTTTTCCATATTTGGTCAATTTTTGAACGTTAAATGCTTATAAAAAAAAACTGTGACTAACAATTTTTAATATTTTTCATCTGCCTTTGAAACTATTTACTATAGGAGCCTTCTATTAAATTTTCAAGTTTTTTTAACCAACAAATAAAATTTTATTGATATTTCTAGAAAATAAACTAAAAAAAAATGAAAATGTCCCTAAACAGTTCAAAATAAATCAATATATTTTGAAAATGTTATCGTGTATAGAAAATGCAAATATAAACAACCAGTGAAAATTTCATGTATCTACGGTCATTTGTTTTAAAGTTACACCAAAAACCAAATTCAATTTTCTGAAATATCGATTTGATAAAAATTCCCGTTTTTCCTTAATTTTTCTTTTGTTTTTCTTGGCGCTTTTGAAAAGTACTGGTCATTTTAAATTTTGACCTCCCCAATGCACCAACCAGGCGCGTATCCAGAATTTTATTTCGGGAGGGGCTGAACAAAATTATCAACATAGTCACACAATAAACAAAAAGTGGGTAAGTGGATGTCGCTCTGCTGTACAGTAGGTAACAAGTGGGTCACTGTAATGGATGGTGTAAAATTTGAATTCAATGATATAATATCATTGTATAAGAAAAACGATTCTAAGCGAAAACGGTCAGTCAGCCTATGATATTACTAAGTATATTTGATGATATTATTGTGAATAAAGTAATTTATATATTTACCTATTTACGTGGACCATTGTTTTAAATTTTTAATCCTTAACTATGAAAGTTGAACATTTTATAAATTTTTAATTACAAAATATTTATTATATTTTAAATTTGATAAATTTTGTCAAAATTCGAACTTTAAATGATTATAAGAAAAAATTGTGCCTATGTATTTTTAATATTTTTCAACTAATATTGTTACAATATATCAGGAGCCTTGCGTTAAATTTTCACGCTTTTTACCCAACAAAAAAATTTTATTGATATTTATAGGAAAAAAACTAAGAAAAATGAAAACTGTCAATGTCCGTAAATAGCTCAAAAAGAGGCAAAATATTTTAAAATTTTTTTGGTGTATAAAAAAATGAAAACATTCAGCAAAATTTTAAGTTTTGTGATTTTTCCGTATTTTGTCAAGATTCGAACTTTAAATGCTTATAAAAAAAACTATGACTAAGGATTTTTAATATTTTTCAACTGCTATTGTAACAATATAGCAGGAGCCTTGTATTAAATTTTCAAGCTTTTTTACCCAACAAATAAAGTTTTATTGACTTTCATATTTTTTGGATTTTCTTGAAATTTCAGGGGGGGCTGCAGCCCACCCAGCCTCCCCCATAAATACGCCCCTGGCACCAACGATATTCACTTTCCAATCGAACAAGATACTGAAGTCGAAAATCGAAGCATTATTTCGACTACTTATCGTGTACACAGACACAAAAAATATAAAAAAAAAATATAAAAACACACATCATTGTAAAATCAATACATTCATCATTCCACTCAGAATCTAAAATAAAAAACACATCATTGTATAATCAATACATTCATCGTTTCACTCAGAATCTAAAACAAAAATAATCAAATTGTGTACAACAACAAGTGGCGCAACTAGAGTTCAAATCTTGGGGGTGCTACAATTATGAAACCCCCCAACACAAACATTTTATACTGCCAGTAATCAGTATTTATATTATACTTCAGCACCTCCTAGCACCCCAGTAGTTGTGTCACTGAACAACAATAACATAATACTAAATAATAGACGTTAATAGTTAATATTATACATTTCTGTGCTGGAATTAAGAGGTTGTTACACCGACAATTGTTGTCTCCATCCTACAAGTGCCTAACATAGCATATTTTACGCTCAGTAGATCACGTTTAGCTCTGTTAGTTTAAAAATTAGAAATTTAAAGGTAAAATTATTATCTAGGGCGTCTCATATTTGGTTTTATTTTAATTTTAAAGCGAGTAAAATTATTTGGAGATGTACAAACAATTTACAATTTTAAAATACTCATAACTCGCTTTAAAATTAAAATATAACAAAATGCCTATGAGATGTCCTAGGTAATAATCTCACCTTTAAATTGTACTAGATATCAATTCACTCCAATTTTTAAACTAACATAGCTAAACTTGATCTGCTGTGCTATGTTAGGAACTTGTAAGATGTAGACCAGTGTTTCGCAACCTGGAGGTCGCGACCCCCTTGTGGGTCCCCAACTTATTATTTAGGGTTGCGTATGAATTAAATTTTATTGTTTTTACATTTTTTTAATTAAACATAATTAAAATATTATATGTATTTTATGTTGAGTACTATGTACAGTACTTTTACTATTGTTTATTAATAAAAATCTATATTCTATGCGTCTATATAAAAAAATATATGTAAGAGGGGTCGCTAAAAAATTTAAATTGGGGTTGAGAAACACGGTATACTACCAAAAAGTCCGAGGTAAAAAAGTCCTAGCAAAAAAAGTCCGAGGTATAAAAAGTCCGTGGTTAAAAAGTCAACGGTGGAAAAGTCCGAAATATAAAAAGTCCGGTACATATAAATAGGTAAAAGGAAAAATACCATGTGATGCACAATAAAACTTCCAATTAGTATAAATATAAATTGTAACTAAATTATTTACGTGACAAAATTAATAATTTTTTTTTTTTTTTTTATTGGGTAACCCGCGGCAACATAGGTTAGGGTTTATGGCAGAATTTTCGAATTGGGCACCAGTAGGTTGTAGGTATCTAACCTAATCGTGACTTGCCCGGAGAAAAATGCCGCCCGGCGACGCGCACAAAATTAATAAATAATCTCGTATGTAC